TTTTTCTTTGGAAATAACAATGAATAATCTTGTCATATCAGTTGGGAAAGATCACAGTCCTTTTAACTTTTCTTGCAGGTTACTTTTTTCTTAGTATCTCTGGATCCTCTGTCTGGACTCTCCTTGTATTGTGGCCAATGCCAAAAAGAAACTGTGATCTATATTACAATTATGACCAGTGGAGTGGGAAGAAGAGAATCTAACCTTCCCATCACCAGTTGTGCCCAAAGGTTACTATGTGCAGCAAATAACTGCTTTGGAGTGGGACTTGTAAATGAGGATCCATATTATTCCTATAAGTTAGAAAATGAAACAGGAAATCCCAAGAATGAGATTCAAAGTTATATCAAAAATAATGCCTAGATTGGCCCTGACTTTCTAGCTCATGAAATATTAGAGTTCTACAAGCAAGCAAGGTGACTTACTGGAACAGTTACCTTTCTTTAGTAATACCACTGTAGCATCACAATTGCTGTTGTCATCCATCTCTGTATTATTTGCTAATCCATTCACCATGTTTGTTACATTCTTTGTCCTCCGTTCAAACATATGCTGGAGATTGGCATTAAACCTATACAAAGCAAAAAGAATTAAGAATTGGTCTAGGCCCTTGTTAGATGCCATACCTCTCCTGGTCTCATTTCTGGGTACCTCCTGATCTTATATAGATTCCTGACTGAATGTGATGGGGGAAACAGCAGAGCAAAGGAGTTACTTTGGAATTATTGGTTGGACAATTGAAGGCCCAGACAGCTTTGATTTGGATTCCTGCAGCCTTTTATTTCTTGTAGTTAAAGGGACTGGCAAGCCAAAGAGTGCATCCTATTCTTCATGAGGCCCATTATTTGATGTTTTGCCCAGTTACATGATGAAGGGAATCAGTTCAACTCCATCTGGTCCTATAACCTGTCTTTCATTTTAAGTAGCTTGTTTTGTGATATGAAGATCCCACAGGGTGATGGTCCCCATAATTTCCCATGCCCTGCCAACAGAATCTAATTTTCACCTGGTTGGGAAGCTATTGCTTTGTTCTTCACATTTATCATTTTTATTCCCTTTTGATGTCAGGAGTCTGATTATGCAGAACCTTAGCACTACCCTCCCCTAGTTTTGGCATGCTTTGTGATTATCTTGGGATTCAGAATTCTAATCACAGATATGTAAATCCTGGTTACATGTTTACAGCTCATATCCAAAGTGAGCAAAAATGTTTTTAATGAAAAGTAAAAAGAATACATATGATGAAACTTGTAGGACCAAGTTGCATGACTTGTATTAATTAACATTGGCTGATCTCAAAAATATTTAAGCAAAGTCAGACCTGGTTAATACTTGGACAGGAGGCTACCAGGAAATTCAGGGCTATAAATTAGACTTGGATGTGAAGGAGGCAAAAGTAAATGACTTCTGTATTGTTGCCAAGGTAACTTCACGGACAAGTCTATGTGGTCACCAGTAGAGCTCAGCTTGCAGAAATCTTGGCCTTTGCCTTAATTGATGTACATGGATGGAAAATAGAGCCCTATATATTTATTTATTTATTACCCATATTTCTATACCATCCAGCTATACTTATGTACAGAGCTCTTTTGTTTCCTTCAATAATCTCCTGTTTGTTTGTTTGTCCTAATCTATGCAACATTCTATTTAATCTATAGGTGTGCAATTGTTAAATTTCTGAGTCCTATAATGACTTTTTTTTCCAGCTGAGGGCTAGTAATGAGACAGGCTGCAATATGGTTACCACATCTGGATTACAGAAGTCTGGATTACCACAAGGTTGAAGCAAATAGACCCAGAAAATGCTAAATCTTTGCTGTCTTGCAGTTGACCAGATTTTTCTCATATTTTTCTAATATGAGAGTAGGAAGAGCAATGACAGAAAGTGGAGATGCCAGAAAAAAATCCCAAAGTATCTCTGTTAATTAAAATGGCAAGACATAACTGCCAAAGTGTAAAAATCTGCACTTTTGAGGAGAAGCTTTCAAGCGGACGCACAAGGACATGGCAGGGGCTGTATGCAACCTAGAAATATCTATCCCTGAATTAAAATAATATTGAACAATAAATAGGCCAGGACAGATTGTACTTACTTCATGATAAGAATGTAGATGATGTACATCAGCACTAGGATTAAGGACTCCCACCTGTGACCAGCCAAGGGGAAAAAGGAGAACAATAAAAGCAGTGCAGTTCCATGACTATGATCACCTCCTATTCTGAAATTCAGGCCAGTGGCTCAGGGAAGGGTGAATGATGACAAGGGTGGAGCATAGTGGGCAAGGTAGACTCTAATATTGCCTCCAGAGAGTGAGACAGTACCTGCTATAGGTGCAGGGAGAAATCTGGGGCCTCAAAAATGAAGCTGGGTGGACAGGGAGAAGGCAGAGCAACTAACAGAACTTCACAAGTCAAACTGAAAACAGCATATGCTAATTCCTTCCAAGCTTCCGACCTTGAGATGGTACTCATTCTCCTGAGATGTGATTGTGAGAAGAAGGATAAACCCCTAAAATTTTAGGCCAAACTACAAGGCTTGGCCTATGCATGTCCCACACATTTAATTATTTGGAATGGAAGCATCAACCAACAAAATAGTTAGCAATATATAAAGAATGGACAACATACAAATACAACTTAATTTTTGACCCAGCTCATCATAACCTTTTAATAAAACCTGCACTGTAATTCCTTATTACCAACCTTTTCTTTATAGATATAAATTTGGCATTACATGTAAGGTTGATTGGGAGAATTACTTTGATTCTGATTCAGAGTGGGCTTGATCAGTAATGATCAAAATGACATAGTCAAGAATGCAGCGGGACCAAATCTTGTGCACTCAAACCCTTGCAAGCTTCTAAGACATGCTTGTTTTCCCTTTCGTTCTTCTCCAAACTTTCTTCAGATAATAGGAGCCTCTGCTATTTCCTAGCATTTTGTGGACCAAGGCCCTGATGTATTAGTTTTTCATGGCTAATCTGCAGGAATATTGGGAACCCAAAAAACTACACTTTCCATACCCCCTTGCACTGGGGATACTATTATGAGTGTGTACTGCAGCATCCCAAGTATAATGAGGGCTTGGGGCAAGTAATTCTCAGGACATCCCTACTAAATTCTGGAAATATAAACTTCCAGCTACCATTTCAATGTGGTAGATGCTAGAGAATAATGAAAGCCTCATTGAAGTATCTTCCTATTGTAGAAGCCATCTCCACATATGTTTGGTGATGGTAGTAGCATTAAGCTGAAATTACAGCTCAATGTATCTGAAAGGATGCAATAAAGCTTCAGAACATAGTGAAACAGAGACCTCAGCATGCCAGACGGAGATCACAGAGATCCATTCATAGTGTAGTAGTAGTAAGAAAGTCATATTTGCAAATGGTTCAACTGGCCCAGAGGTTGCTCATCACAAAAAGACCCTTTCTGGTGGCATCACCAGGATGGCTATGGCATTATGTAAGAGCCTAGGGTTCCCCAACATCCTTTCATCTATTCTGAAAAACTATGATTTAGTTGATGCTTGGCATCATTTAAACTGTGCTAGCAGAGATTTCTCATATTACTGTATTCTCTTGGGCCTATTCAATATTAGATTCTGTACTTACCATCAGGAATGTAATTCAAAACAGCAGCACACAAACTGGCTGTAGACCCATCTCAGATCATGCTTTTTTAAAAAACGGATCGAGATCGACCATAAAGAGGCTAATACTAGGAGTTAGAAATGTAATCCCTCACTCCTTAATACAAAGGAATTCACTCTGAAACATCCTCTTATATTAAAGTTAACAGTACTACTGGGGTTGAGCTGTACAGTGTTTTCAATTAAAGTTTTTGGGGATGGGGTACAAAAACAGCTGATCCAAAAGGGCTGGGAAAGAGAGGTTTTCTCTTCTAATTTTAAAAAGATTTAGACAAATCATTCTATTATTTAGTTTTCCTGCAGCATGGAAATTAGTCCCTGAGTTGTTTAGCAGAACATTGGTTTTCCTTACTTTTCTTAGTTGGCAAAGACAACCATGCTACTTACCAAGCAACTTTTTCATCATAAATAAACTGAGGAGAAAATGGAAAAAAATAAATATTACCATGTAGAACTGCTTATAAAATATGTAATTCTTTTTTAAAAAGAATCTCATATCACTGTCTATATTTTTATGCTGGCTCTGTAGCCCAAATTATTCTACACATTTCATTCTCTCTCTCAAACTGTTTAAGCATCTGTAATATTAAACGTAAGATTTTTTTTGAATTAACATGCTAATTAGAGCAGAAAGCCAGAGTTTAAATAAATACCACATACTTATATTTATAAATACCATTTCAGAGTTTGAGTCTCCAATTTGACTATCCAACAGCAATTCGTCTAATTTTAATTAAAATTTTGTACATTAAATCATTTATATGGAGAAGCAAATAAGCGTGTTATTAAATTCTGTTAAGTTGTTGTACACGTAACGCATGTGACCCTCCACTTTGAACTGTGAACTTCATGTGAAGAACTCAGTTGGACAAATAGCTCATTTGTATGCCACTCACTGTCCTTTCTACTAAATACAAATAGATTTTCCAACTTTCTATAATCAAGAAGTAAAGAACTTGTATTTTATTTAATTGAAAATCAAGTGCTTAGAAATCGACAGCATGATAGTAGCTGTCTAAAATTCTCATTCAGCAAGTATAACTGCAGCCACAATGAGCTAGCAATTGATTGTACTCTTCGGTCACCATTTGTATCTGAGTTGTAACACTCTGAACTGTGCCACTACATTAGAAGTTATCATGTGGCATCTCTCTGCATAGTGCCACTACTTCCATATAAATGGATAAAACTGAATAGTAATTCTGACCTACATCCAGCCTTTCCCCTGATGTGGCTTTATACGCACACATACATTCTTATACTGAATGTGGGAAAACCTTTTAAAATTCGAGCCCTCCATCTACATGTATTGAATTCATAGTCTGTGATTCTAGCAGCTCCTTCAACAAACATGTAGCTGTATTCTCCTTCTGGGATGTGGTCCAAAAAGCAGCTTTCCTCTATAGTGACCACCAGAGTGCACTGACATCCTGCGCTTCTCCTTGACTTTTGCCCTTTTTCTTTCAAATGGGTCTAGAATGATGGTAGCAAATTAAAGAGCCTAGAATGTTTAGGAGTAATATTTGCATGGTCTCACTTCTACCCTTCAACTTCCTTTATAGTTAGGCAGTTAAAAATATACCTCTGGTTATCTGCTTGTTCTTAGTTGTCACCTGTAATTACAGGCATCGTTATGAAGTAACTTACATGTTGGGAAACATATCCATGCAATAATAAAGTATCTTAGCAGAGGCGGACAGCAAGAATTCACTTCTGGTTTTACAACCTTACTTTTTTGCCATCTGAAATTGGCTAAAGATTTCTAGAATATTATATGACAACTGGAAAAAAGGAAAAGCTTTTGTACAGTCCTTAACCAGAGAGGTTACCAGGGGTGTGGTGCTCCTAATTACAGGGCAAATTGATATCCAGATCTCCATTGTGCTAGATTGCTGCATTTGTTTCTTCTGTCACTTCCACTCCCAGGGGCCATGCATGCTTTCAAAATACTGCTTTGGACTTTGTATGAGCTGAGCTCCTTTCTGCTATGCAATTATTCTGCATGAGTCTTGAGAAGGTGCAACTGCTAAAGGCGTCAAGTCCTTAAAGCAGTGTTTCTCAACCTTGGCTGGCTGGGGAATTCTAGGAGTTTAAGTCCACACACCTTAGAGTGCCCAAGGTTGAGAAACACTGCATTAAAGTGAATGTGTCTTTTAAAGCAGCCTCTCTTTTTTTTTCAGGATTGTGCAAGAGGCTGAAAAAAAGGGGGAGGGGATTGTTTTAATGAACAGTAGAGCAGTGTTATGCTTATGTGAGGCCTCCAAGCACTTCTTCCAAATCACTTTGGAATTGTGCACAGCTCTACTTCCATATCAAAATTTCCATATGAGATGTGGAGTGAAGAAGTCAAAGGAAAGAGACAGTATCAAGGAGACAGAGCTGCAAACAACCTAAGGAGGTAGAATAAAGTAATCACACTGAGTGGTGAGAGACACCACCTGCTTGAACTATTAGACTTGCTGTCCCAATTCATACAATTTGTTCTTTACTTAATTTCTTCTCAAAATGAAGACATAATTATCAGCATCATACAGAGTATTAGCACTTTCAAAATACAACCAATCATGCTCTCACCATACAAATTAATATCTATATAAATATCCACTATAGTATTAGCAAGCAAATAGTTTATTGAATAAGTCTCCAGGCCATATCAAGTATACTACAAGTAACAACAATACATACATACATCTTAAAACAGAACATTATTATTTAAATCTAAAACTAATAAATTATAAACTTTAAAATATAGATCTAAAGTCTTTTAACCCATATCATGTAATACTTTAAAATGGTTAACAAAGTACAATAAAAACTATAATACTCCTAGTCAAGCTCCTGGGAGATATAGGAGCTACATAATATGTCATGTCTGGCAGATTCTACTATCCCTTTCCCCCTGCAAAGAAAGCTACCCTCTGTGTCACAAACGGATTGGCACCTTGTAAGAGGAAATGTATTTTACTTTCAACATTCCAATTCCTGAGATCCTCAAGGAATGAGAATAAGTAATGATCCCCATATTTAATACACAACCATCATTCTAATATGTAACGTGTCAGATCATCTTTTTCACTTGCCCCACAAACTCTGTATGTCTATCTTGTGTTGGGTACCTTGGAATCTCAAGATAGTATTAAGAAAATCCCAGTTCAGATAATAAATGATATAGAATCATGCAATATAAACTAATCTCTTTTACTTTCTTATTTTCCAGTAGGAATTTGACTTTCATGTAGTTGCCTATGGAGTAGACCATGTTCTCAACCCAGCTGAAATCATGAGAGTGTGTTAGTTTTATCAGGTAGAGCCCCTCTCTGTAGCAACCACATGTTGAATTTGTTCATATAAAAATATGATGGAAGCCAAAAAATTATGGATTATCACAGGATTAGCATGGCTACCAGGTGTGGCCTGCAAAAATCTCGACTGCCACTAGATAGGAGAAAAGAGATAAATAAACATCTTGGGTTTTTTGCCGCCAAATGGCATTAATCCAGATTTTGGCAGCCCAGAATTGTAGCCCTACTTGAAAGTATACCAGTATATTTGAAAAGTACACAGGCTACCATTTCAGAGCCATTATTATAGAACATACTGATTATTTTCATAACTAAGGCCATGCGCAAGTATGATTTCTGTCTTCATTAATTCAAGCAGATGCCCTGAGACATATATTTGAAAAGATATCTCAGTCTTGGCCTTTCAGAACTCCAGAAAACAGAGTTAATCCAAAGGGGTTGTTGGTGACACCCAGTGTGATTATTTTTATGACATTTATGATTTTAGTTTCTATTGTGGACATTTTATTTAAATGCTTGTGTTGCTTGTAATTACTGTAAATCGCTAAAGACTTGCAACTGCAGCTGGCATAAATAGAATAAATAAATAAAATATAGCAGGAAATAAACATCTAAAGATGGAAAGGAAGGGATAACAGCTATCCCTTTTGTAAATAGCACAAAATAACATCTTGGCTGTCCATAAAACAAATTTTATGTCAATGTTCAGTTATTAAGACATATTTCTGAATGACAACACATGTTTTAAACTTCAAAATGTGTGCCATTTGCTTTAAATACTAAAATTTGGTGTGCTCAGTACAGCTGTGGCTATCTAAAGCTGAAGCCTCACATTCTAAAGTTTTGAAACAAGATTTTTCAGATCACGATGGATGAAATGTAAACACTCATTAAGAGATAAAGTCTGAAATCGTAAGGAGTGTGACATGTATTCAATTAAATGGAATGTCCAGAAGAGCAAAACAATCAATATATACTGGTAAAAACATCTTTCCTTAGTAAAACCTTATAAAATAGGAACATCAACACTCTTGTTTGTCAAGGGCAGTCAAAGGCTGAGTTCACATCACATTCTTACCCAAGGCTGAATTAACCATGGTTTATTCAGTTGTGGATTTGTACAATTGTACTAATCATAAATTAGTCAGGCCAGCTGGATATATACACAAATGCTAGCCAAAATTTGGTTGGTTAGTTCAGTATGTCATGCAAACACAAACAGCCGAAGAAACTTTATTCAGGAGAATAACCACTCAGTACTTACCAAAATAAGTGCAGCAACTGAGCAGGTATAATACATTGAATCCCTCAAGAGGCTCCAAGAAGACAGTGCAACTATCTGAGGAAACAAGCAAAAAGATACTGAACTGGTGATCATAAGCTTTACCCCAAAACCAAATAGCAAGAAAGGGCTTTTAGAATAATTTGGAACTTTGGGGTATAGTATATGTTTATACTGTACAATTATGTACAGTATAAACATATACTGTACATAACTGTACAGTATATGTTTCCCATATACAGTACAATTGTTCACTTTGAGAGATCTGAAAATGTTGTAGTTTTGAATCCAAAAGGTTACTTCAAAGGAAGATACCTGGTTCTGCACAACGAGAGAGTAGGTCTGTGTTCTGATTTGTGGTTTAGCTTGAATTCAGAGTGAGTCAGGGCAATTTAGACCAGACTTTTACTTTCCTGAAGCCGGGTTCTGCCCTGCTCTGTCCAGATTCAAAACCTTTCTCAATGCTCTGCACTCCGTTTTCAATTCCAGAGCACCACTGCACTGCAAATGATGGCTCTGCAATAGACACACACACACACACACACACACACACACACACACGGGCAAAGAGGAAGATTGACATTTGGTTGTGTAAAATATTGGTGGAAAGAATACTGGATTCACTGAATGATAGCCCTATCCTCAACTTAAAGTAACCCTTTTGATTAGGCCGTAAGTGACCATTTGGGATGGGTAGCAAGATAATAGGCAATGGGCTTTGGGGCACTGACAAGGCAGCACAGCAGTCAGCTAAAGAGACTGAGGAGAAGCAGGGCAGGAGCAGATCTTAGTCCACTATGTTTGCAGGGCTTGCTCTGGGAATGCTGGTTCTTTTGCATTTGGACAAAAGTAAACCTGCAGAATGAGATGTCTATGACAGGTCTTGCTGACTCAGGCTAGTTTGTCAGTCTGACTAGGGAGATACCTGAATGACTGTTGTGTAAAGGAGTGGCCAGGAAAGCAACAAGATGGGGCTTTGGCAGAGGAATGTTATCCCTCCCTCCCTGTGCAAATGGCCAGTCTATTCCACCGCTCTTTAGAGACTTGGAGTAGGCCCACCAGAGTTATTCACTGGGGCTGGTTTCTCTAGTTTGGGGGCTTGACCAGTGGCTGGGCTTTCAGGAAGGAAACACACATTTCTGAAGGGGATGGCTTTTTCTGAGAATCCTCACAGCAAGAACTGAATTATTTTTTTCCCAAACTTTGTTCCAGAAGTGGGAACAAGTCAGGGCAGACTATCCCATACCAAGTATGTGTCAAACTCTTTCTGAATCTGACCTTGGATATGGGCCAAGATATCACTTATGAACATGAATGAACGTTTTTTGGAGGTGGGGAAGGGAATAATTATGCTAGTAACCAGAAACAGATTTATGACCATCAGTAACAGATTTATTATTGCTGCTGGCAACTTGGTAATAACAATTTGTTTTAGTGAAAATTGACCAGTGTCTAGCTGTAGACTTGTGTTTTTGCCTCTTTAACGCTAGAAAAAAGGAACACTTTTTTCTCTCAGAAAACTTTGAGGCCTAAGCTATATATGTTGAAGTACTAAGGTGACAAAATCAGATGGCATCTGGAAGAATGCCATTTTTGAATGCTGACTGATACAGACTCATGCAAACTCAAAAAATACAATATATAAAGGAACAATGTGCCTCCAATTCACTCCTTATTATGCTAATGAATGTATCTATTTTTCATAAAAGGGAGCTTTCTGAAATGCGAAAACCTACTACTTGCAGTCTGATGGGATTCGACTCATTATATCATCACAGATCTCTTATTGCTTCATTTCTGTCTCATTCTGCCACTGCATAAAGGTGAGACCTGAATTACTGTTGTCGTCAAATTCCAAATCACTGTATGTGTAAGCCCACCTCTGTGGGCCTGCAGTACTGGGATATTTCAAGTCAGATTGATGGTAATACTCTTCACACTAGTTGTAGAATTCTGATTCCATACAACAAGATCTTCTTTTGAGTTTATTTAGTGGCATGAATCAAGACTATATTATCTGTTATTGAAAATAACCCTGCATCATTTACAACATCTAGTACATTTAGTATATCATAGGCTACAAACTTTTCCTGAGAGTATTTTGTACCAAAACATCACACCCAAAATCATTTTACAGGGCAGGAAGCTCATGTAAACAATCATGATAAAAGAGATCAAAGACTGAGTCAATGTGAATTACTTGTAGTTGGTAAAATGCAGAATTGGAGAACAGAAGCAGTATTTGAATCATCTCTGCTCAAAGAATAGTTGGCACAAACAAATTCGGCACAACCCCCACTCCACCATCTAGAATATGTTTTAACCTACTAGCCATCCAACTATGCACCCAATCATCCACAGGATTTCCTTCTTATATGGTATTTCTGCTAGATAAAACTTACACAACCCACAATCTGCAGATTAAAATCAGGGAGGAGAGAGATTCTGTTAGGGCAAACCTGCTGCAGTTTAAGATATCAATTGTGGCTTCTTCACTGTCTCTTTCTGTACTGCTGAATGCTGTATTTCTTCTACATAAAATTAGTACTTCATTTGCAAGAACTGGCATGACTTGGTGCTTTGCAAGTGTTAGTGTTCTTTGCTGCAGTAGCGCTTTTCTGGATATAACAGGTAAAACTGCTCTTGGGAATAGTTTGGGGGCTCTTCCTTGATCCTTACCATAGCACAAACATGCCCTGATGACAATTTTTTTTAATACTATGTCATCCTCTGACACCTAGCCCAATTTTTTTGCCATGAGTATGATATGGCATACTTCCCTAATAATATGATTGCTGATGTAATGAGGGGATGGGATGGGATCTGTCCAACTCCTACTGGCCACTTTAACTTGTCACTTGAGCACTGCCACTCCTTTGCAGCTATTAACAGAGCTTGCTTGCTACCTATTGCCTCCTTCCATTTCATTCTAAACACCCCTATTTACCTTCTACTTGTCAGCAGACTATTTCTGAACAGAGGTGTAGCTCATTAGATCTTTGTTCAGAAATAGTCCAGCTGACAGCAGGAGCACTGAGAGCGCTCTCTTCCCCTTTAGCCTGTGCACCTCCTCTATATTGGTTATCTGTCAGCTGAGCTATTTCTGAACAGATCTTAGCCCCCTCCTGTACCCACCTTTAGAAAGACACAGGCTGCCCATATATGCCAAAGGTTCAGGGGTGTTCACAGAGTATGGCCAAAAAGTAAAGATGGTGACTGATCATGTGATCGAAACTCCATCAGGCAGCAAAGCTTTGGTCACACCATTGCAGCTGCCATCTTGTTTTTTTTTTTATGGTACCCCATAGATGTCTCTACAAAGGCCCTTGGGATATGGCAGCACTGAGAAGAAATTAGGTTTCCAGATGCTGAAGAGAAATGTACGGAAAGCTTCATATGGGTTATTCGTTCCAGAGATTTGTTTTTAGGACTCAGGTGACTGCCATTAATCTCAGAACCTAAGATGATGCTAAAAGATAGGAGTTGTTTAAAAAGTGCTTTATCTTAGTCGGATATGAGATTGCTACATGATTATTGCAAAATCGCTGTTGTGTAATTGCTGTGATGATGCAACTGACAGCGTATTTGATCAAAAACTATCTTCCTTGAATTGTTTTCCTTCCTTGGTTTGATTAAGATCACTTATATAAAGATTCAAATGCCATTTACACTATCATCTAATGCCATTTATAATAGTTTCATTTATTAATCTGGTTATATGTTTCTGCCATATTCTACATGAAAACCCAAACAAGCAACCAATTATCTTTCCAACAAGGTATGGCTTTATCAGAAGCAAAAGAGAAAGCAAGTGTGAAAAGAGATACAAAATGTAAAGAAAAATCCATGGGGCACTTTGCTCACAGTGCTACCTGAGTTTCTCCCCAGCTTCAGAATTTAACCAAAGAAACTGTACATCTATCCTTCCCCCATGGTTCATTTAGGCTACTAATCCTTTCTATCCTTTAAAATATTAAATGTATATTTTTCCACAATACTTGCATTTTTTACAGGAGTTGGTGCTATCGGAAGAACTAACCAATCCACTGTTGCTACACATTTGCTGAACTAGGTTTAAAAAAAAAAAAAGGAGTTTGATTCTAAAGAAAGTATATTTTCTTCCAAAAAGGATCAGATTCTACCAACTACATCTAGGATTAACCCCTAAATTTCTCTCTTCCTTTTGTTTTTCAGTAGGTAAAAGCCTTCTATACCAGTGGGTTCATGTAAATGAGGAAACAGCAGATTCTGTCTTTGTCTTAGGTTTAACAGTGATTTATTGTATAAGAATTCCCTTTGGCCTATAATGCATCATCATATAATACAAGTGTAGTGTAGGTCAACTTATTTCTTCACCTAGAATAGAATAACATTTTTTAAGAAACCCATGCTGATTTCTACAGATTACTTATCTAGGATGAACAAATATTCAGGTGCTACATTTTGTTAGGATGAATGGAACAGCTATACAAATAGAAAAATTGGGTATTAATACTTTTTCTTCTGAATCTAATTGAGCAGTTGCCAGTAAGCACGAAAAACCCCGCACGCCTGAAAAGGGTGCGAAGCAACAGAAACCCCGCCTCCTGCGCTCGCCAGCTGGGCTCTGCTCTAGGAAGGAGGCTCTGGCAAATCACTTCCAAAAAACAATTGCCTTGAAAACTGCAAGGACTTGTCCAAGCAGTCACTGCAGGGTCAGCAATGACTGAGCGCAGACCAAAAAAAAAAGACAGATAGTACTGTAATAGCCACTAAATATGGCATAATGCTTCATGCTCCACTAATCTCCTGACCAAATTACTATAGTCCCATTATATATGGGACTAGTTTATATTATCTATGGGACTAGTCTCAAAGTCAATTGAAAATGTGATTGTCAAAATTTTAATTTCTATAGTCAAATAGAATTTACTTCCACAATTCAAGAAATTGGAAATTATCCCTAATGTGCTAAACAGTTTGGGATTCAAATACTTAAAGAAGCACCTTTCAGTATGGCAAAGAGTCATTTTGGACTACAGGATAGAGGCCATTATTATATATTTGTATATTTAGATATTTATTT